ACTTTGCTCCAGAACTTTGTTCTTATAGACCAAGAATACATTCTTAATTAGAAAACTGCAATTTGGTTCCACCACATCCTGACTACTACAGTATATTTTTCTCTATTCTTTCATTTTCCCCTTTCCTATTCCTTTACTGTACATAAAGTAACTGGCGTATGTGCACAAAGCATATTGCTTTTCTTTTTTTCTTTTTTTTCTTTTAAACTAAATGGCCAATGGTATATTTTGACTGACATCAAATGGAGATGAGATGGGGGAAAATGCTGGTTCTGTGAAAATATCCCCCTTCTTCATTTGTGGCATGCTCATTTCAGGTTTTATCATTATATTTCAGTAAGTTACTTTTGCTCTCCCTGTTTTAACAAAAAAAGAAAAAATCAACAAAAATCCTTGCATACCTTGTTTGACTAGAGAATGTTAATGTTTTCATTTATTACTGTAAAACCAGGAACAATTTTATAACTTTTTTGTACTTAGCTGTTACATGTAGGGCAATCTATCTTTAAGTAGGGGTAAATTACTCTTTAAAAAAAAAAAAAAAGAATCCTAGATAGTTTTCCCTTCAAGTCAAGTGTCTTGTTGTTTAAATAAACTTGTTTAAAATGAAAAAAAAAGAAAAGAAAATATAGCATTATGAATTTTTACATCATTCCTTCATAGTAAAATCAAGTTCTATATGGAATCTATTTCCAAGTCCAAAGTAGTTCTCAATAAAATGTCTAGGGGGAAGAAAAGATCTATAAAGACTTACTCGTAGTCCACTCTCTGATTTAATATCCATGATAGTCAAAACTGTTTCATAAAGAATAGCGTTTCCTACGTTTTTACTAGTCTCTGTATTAGTGGCAACCTGAAAAAACAGGAGATAATGTATAAGTGATAATGCTTCTAAAATTTTCCAGCAGTAGACATTTCCAAACAGTAAACAAAAATCTGTTCCAACTAGTAATCACATGACTATGTGATGAATATGTGCTACAATCCAAGTTGGGTCAACTCACCTGTGCTAATATATCATTCATAGCTTCACTTGAGTCATCGTCATTTCTTCCTAAAATTCTTAATAACCGTAAGATTCGTACCTAATGTACAAAATATGAGAATCATCAACAAATTATGTATGGCAAAAAGGGATCTAACTTGGCATGAAATTCAAATAACTTATATGAACTCTTAGTTCCCCAGTAAAACAGTCAATAATCAAACAGAAGGATTTTAAACATTTTTTAGAAGCTAAATAAGCTTCTACATCTAATTATATTATCAGACAACCTACCCCCCCCTTCATTACCTCAAAGTTAAATAATACAATTTGCAGAAACCTATTATAATGATAATCAAGTAAGGAAGGAACAATTAATTCTATTAAAACTTTCAGCTTAAATAAATGAAGAACTTTGTCTCTTGTCTACTCATTAATATAATTAATAACTACAAAATTTCCATAAAGGACAAACTAAAGGAAAAAATATAGTCTACTCAAAAGTCATTCAATTCTTAGATACTCAAAATACTTTTTCAACCTTACCTGCAAAAAAGGGTCACTGATACCAGAAACATCATGTTCTGGAGAATATCCGGACATAATGAGGTTCTTTAGAATACGAACTAACTGGGGCACAAGCTGTAGAAAAGAAAGATGCATTAAAAAAAAAAAAGTGATTCTGTGAGATTGTCACTTGAATAAGCAGGTCCTTTGGTTTAGAAAAAGGATCTGAGTCCAAAAAAACTCTATTGATATAAACATATGGTGGATATTTGAAAAACATAATTTGGGAGTGCTTATGCCAAAACCCAAGAAGGAGGTAGTTTGTCTGGACAAAAAAAAAAAATAACTACACTATTTTTACTCCAGAGATATATATGCAAAACTATTATGAACAACATTGACCAGAAAGCCTATTTTAATCATGTAAAACAGATGTCTATGGGCATACTTCCTTTCAACTTCTATAGTACTTGACATACACACGTGGCAAAAAATGTTCAGCATTTATTCATTCAAACATTTGTATATAAAAGGTTATCATACCAAAATATAACTGGTAATCTTACTAAAATTATATTTAAAATATACCACAAATCAAATAGAGAAAAAAAATCTATCCTCTTAAAGCTAGTTATATCCTTTTCCAACAAATGTCAGGGATACCAAAGCCATCAACATTACCCAAATGGAAAAGATGCAGGAAGAAAATATACCTTTCACCTTAAGAAGATACCAAAGCCAAGAATAATTCCCCTACCTGTTCTTAACTCTTATGACACAATTTTGTTATAATTTAATATGAGCACTCAATTACACATACTGATTTATGGTCTATTTTCTGACCTTACCAATGTGATTATACATTCCTTATGGTCAGAAATTCCCTTGTCCTTTCTTTACTTAGTCTCATTAAGACTCATAACACATAGTAGAAGTAATATTATTGCCAACCCACACTTACTGATGCTGTAAGTATTAACACTCATTTCATTTTTGTGGGGAACTATTTGATTTTGAAACCCTACTCCAAAATGTTTGCCTCAGGAGGAATTTTTCCAGTCTCCCAAGTGAAAACTTAATTTAGCCAAACAGACTATTGTAATGACATAAAGTTAAGAAATATCCAAAGTGAACTACATGGCATCTTTTTTGTAGGCCATCTGCATAGTCCCAACTCTGCTACAACCCAATGTTTTCCTCATTGTATTTAAACTCTATTCCTTCCAGTTCCTTGAGCCTAAAAGGGGACCAAGATTAAAATGAAAGCCAAGCTATACCCAAGGCATGCACCCAAAACATTCAAAGCATTAAGGCCACTTCTAAATGCAAGAGAACACAATCAATATGAGCTTAAATATTTAAGTTTGGCCACAACATCTCAGAATTTAGTGATTCATAAGTCATCACTAAATTATCTAATTTGGACAACTCCAAGAATAAAACATAACTATGCCCCAGAGATCTGTAAATTCTAAACAAATCCTTATAAAACCTGTCTACTGTGGGCAAACTTGTTTATAGATAAGCAGCTCACCTTGCATACTTCCCAATGGTCTGCTTTTTTGTACTACACATAACCCTAATTATTTTTTAAATTCTGGTTTAGTTCTTGGAGAAGTCCTTTTTTCCTTGGGCTACTAAATTCAGAAATTGTTTTAGTCACTGCCAAAAGGCCAGCACATCACATAAGATTACCCTGGGACAGAAAGCACATGTCTAAGTGTTCAGCATACAAATTCTTGGAACCCAGCTTTATTTTCCAAACAAAATGCAAATTACTAAAACTGATGACAGGACAAACAAAGTAAGATGACAAAGGGAAAGGCTGCAGCCATGAAAATCAGTTGATGCCCACCTGCTCTACCTCTAAATTCTTTTAGTAGTCTAAAACTTCTACGCAAGATTAAGTCCAGATAAGAGGTAAATAAAAGCTTGAAGTCTTAACTGAAAGCTCAGAAGTACACATGGAGCTTTTTCAAGTATGAGATTACCCACATATGATTCTAAAATATCTACTTCAAAAAGAAGCAGTGTTTTGTGTCAGCTCGCCAGACAGACCTGGAATTGTCATTACCAAAGTTGCTGGGAAACTGCTCAGTTTCTCAAGTGAAGATTAGGGAAAGGCAAAGGGGGAAGCTTACAACTGAGGGAAGGCTGCAACTGAAATCCAAGGCTGTCTTTGGAGTCAGGAGTTTTAAGTGACAAGACAAAAACTGGACTGGAGAGTTAGCCAAAAAACTAGAACAAATAACTCACAGTATTAAGCACAGCTTCAGCATTAGTATAGTTTAAAAGCCACACTTGTGGATGGATACACAAAAGCTACTAAAGACCTAATGCCAGCATGCACCATCTAAAAGAGGGTTAATTCTTACCTTTTCATTCTAACATACAGCAGGATTCCAAACAGACAACAGGAACAAAACATACAAAGCAAGCATTAGGGACAGATACGGGTCTCATACTATTTTACAATAATTTAATCAAGACATGAACATCTAAGGGGGGGGTAAAGCCAAAAAAAAAAAAAAAAGAAAGAAAGAAAGAAAGAACTGCTGTTAGATCTTAACTACAAAATGAGCTTTATGGAGTGATCAGCAATAGAAAAGGAATTAAATGCATATAACTTTCAAAAACAGATTCTGGATGTTTTCTGCTGCCTCTAAAAAAATAAGAAGAAATGAAAATGATCACTTTAAAATGCTTTAAAAGATGTGAAGAGGCCGAGCACTGGTGACTCACGCCTGTCAATCCTAGCTACTCAGGAGGCTGAGATCTGAGGATCATAGTTCAAAGCGTGCCAGGGCAGGAAAGTACATGAGACTCTTATCTCCAAATAACAACCTGAAAACTGGAAGTAGAGCTATGGCTCAATGTGGCAGTGCTAGCCTTGAGCAAAAAAGTTCAGGGGAAGTGCCCAGGTCCTAAGTTCAAGCCCCACTACCAACTACAACAACAACAAAAACAGCTTGGCATGGGTGGCTCAGGCCTGTAATCCTAGCTACTCAGGAAGCTGAGATCTGATGATTGCAGTTCAAAGCTAGGCCAGACAAGAAAGTCTGTAAGACTCTTATCTCCAATTAATGCACTGTGGCTCAAAGTGTAGAGACTACTATGAGTTTGAAAAAGCTCATGGACAACACGGAGGCTGTGAGCTCATATCCCACAACTGAGAGAGAAGGGGCAGAGAGGGAGGGGGGAGGAAGGAAGATAGCGGGGGACTTTAAAAAATTAGAGCCAGGTGCCAGTGGCTTACTCCTATTATCCTAACTACTCAGGAGGCTGAGATCTGAGGACCGCAGTTCAAACCTGGCTCAGGCAGAAAAGTCCCCAAGAGACTCACATCTCCAATTAACAACACAAGAACCAGAAGTGGCACTGTGGCTCAAGTGGTAAGGTGTTAAATTTAGCACACAGTAGCTCAGGGACAGCACCCAGGCCCTATGCTCAAGCCCCACAACCAACAAAAAAAGAAAACAAAACAAAACTAGGTCTTGGGCTAGAAGCATGGTTCCAGTGGCAGAGCATCTGTTTAGCAAGCATGAGGCTGTAAGTTCAACCCCAGCACCACAATTTTTTTTTTAAGCTAGGTTTTTCACCAGAGAAGTCAATGGCCTACAGTGACCAAGACAGTAAAGTAACAAAAATCCTGTTTCAGTTTGTGCCTTAAAAAAAATTATCTTTAAAGAAAATCTTATGCCGGGCACCGGTGGCTCACGCCTGTAATTCTAGCTACTCAGGAGGCTGAGATCTGAGGATCGCGGTTCAAAGCCAGCCCATGCAGGAAAGACTGTGAGACTCCTATCTCCAATAAACCACTAGAAAACCGGAAGTGGCGCTGTAGCTCAAGTGGTAGAGCGCTCGCCTTGAGCTGAAGAGCGCAGGGACAGTGCCCAAGCCCAGAGTTCAAGCCCCAGGACCAATCAAAAAAAAAAAAAAATCATATAGTCACAGTTGTGAATAAAAGAAGAAAGCAGATATTTCCTTGACCCAGACTACTCCAGGTCTGAGAACTCGTTTCCTTAAAATTCAGCGTGGAGGGCTGGGAAGGTGGCTCAGTGATAGAGTGCTTGCCTTCCATGCATGAGGCCCTGGGTTCAATTCCTCAGCACCACATAAGCAGAAAAAGCCAGAAGCGGTGCTGTGGCTCAAATAGTATAGCACTAGCCTTGAGCTGAAGAGCTGAGGAACAGTGCCCAGGCCCAGAGTTAAGGCCCCACTACCGACCAAAAAAAAAAAAAAAATCAGAGTAGAAAGAATAATCATATTACTAAAATCTTACGGTATTTCCTACTTCAAGGTTAACACAGAACTTCTACTGAGACGCTGTAACTTTTCTATCTTTTCATTAAAAAAAAAGCATCACAAGGTTAAAGGACAAGCTATAGGAGGAAATTACAAGTGGGATCTTGTTTGGTCTCAACATACTTAAATGCTGGCTCTAATGGTTTTCTCATATACCTATGAGAGCGAAATAAACGTTATGTATTTTTTAATGTTTATAGTCTTTCCCCATGTTTAAAGATGCTTTCAAAAACCTCCAAGCTCCTTTTACCAATAACTAAAAACTAAATCTTGGGGGGAGGCTGGGAAGGGAGGTGAAGGGTAAACAAAGGAGGAGGCTGCAATGCTTGGTAAGAAATGTATGCATTATCCTGCCCATGTAATTGTAACCCCTCTGTACAGTATGTTCACAAGTAAAATAAAATAAAATAAATCTTACTTTTCTGCAGCAAGAAAGATTCCAGATGCACAGTCTGCTTTAAATTCTGGCTCACATGAATCCAGAAAATAAAGTAATTCCTTCATCATGCCTCGGATATTATTTCCATTTACCAGAGCAAAACTCAATTCCATTGCACGCCTTGCAGGGGGAAAAGATTAAAAAAAAAGAAAAGAAAAAGAAAGAAAGAAAGGAATTACAATGAGAATAAAACAAAGATCCAGGTATACTCCCTCCGAATACCAAAAGCACTGGCAGACATATTAAAAGTCTTTGCCCAAACTTGTAATCTCAATCTTTATGAGCAATATAACCAAGGAGATTTATTTGTATGTAATCAAAGTTTTGATATTCTCAATCATGTCTTAACACTTTCCTTCAAAAATCTCAAGCTGAGCACCAATGGCTTACACCTGTAATCCTAGCGACTCAGGAGGCTGAAATCTGAGAATTTCAGTTCAATGCAGCCTGGGCAGAAAAGTCTGTGAAACTCTTATCTCCAATTAGCCACTGTTAACCTGTTCTGTACAAACAAAAAGAACTGGCTATCAATAAACGCTTGTTAATTGAATGGCTGCAGAGACCAATTTAAATCTTTGTTATGGATTTGAACACATAACCAAAGTTAACTGGAACTAACCATAGCTAGATTTTTTCAAATATCTACAATTCTAAAAGAATCTCCAGATTATTCCATTGAGGAGATTTATGCCTTTTGAGAGTGCTCCTGGCTGCCTAGCAGTGTTCGTAGATGCTAACACATTTGCTTCCAGTATCCTAGGGTTACAAGTACTATGGAAAATGTGTGCTGTCAGTAATTTGAGCTTCAGCATTGTGTTGAGACACTTAGCCGATGGATCACTCCTTATTTTCATCCTCCAGCACACAGAACATAGTACCTATGCTTACTTAGCCACTTACTTGTACCTGTTATATTTATCAAAGAACCAAGACAACTAGTGTATTTCCTACTGGTCTCCTAATGGACCTAAACTGCTCTTGTCAATGTTTTCTAAAGCAAGATTTACTCTGGAGAGTTCATCCATGAATATAGTGACTAAATACATAAATGTCAACATTCTTCTCTCAAAACTAGTACAAACTATCAAGTAGGGAAGTACACAGAACAAATCAATAATCTAATTTTTCTCACTTCATTTAACAGAAAAACTGAACTGAAAAACAGCTTGTTACCGTTTTATTGAGACATCCAAATCTTTTAAACAGTCCACAATTGTGCTTCTGTGCCTCTGTACAGCATTATGATCTGTTTGCACAGTCTTCAACAAAGATGTCAGTGCTACATATCTAGATAAAACGAAGTTTGACAAGAACAGTGAAAATGTAGTTTAAGCCAGCCCAGTGGCTTACCCTGTAATCTTAGCTACTCAAGAGGCTAAAATCTGGATATTACAGTTCAAAGGCAGCCCAGGCATTAAAGTGTGTGAGATTTTTATCTCCAATTAACCACCAGAAAACTGGAAATGGTGCTGTGGCTCAGAGTGGTAGAACAGTAACTATCCTTAAGGACAAGAGGCTCAGGGAGAGCACCCAGGCCCTGAGTTCAAGCCCCAAGACTGGCAATATATATATATACACACATATACATATACATATACACACACAGTTTAGGACTATTTACTCATCTAAATAACAAAAATGTTCAAAGGACGAGGGAATGCACATATGTACAGAACACAGCACACACAGAAAGCCTTGATTAACCTTTGCTTTCACAAAGAACATGTAAGCATTCCAAACAGAAAAATAAAACAAGCATAGGTATATTTTCAGGCTGTCTTATCCCCAAAATGCAAGAGGTACTTATTTTAATTTTACTACTTGAAACTTCTCTTATTGGGACCAAACTGCTCTGTAAAAATTTGAGCTTAAAAATATTTTTAGAACATAATTGAGAGTGTCACAGGTTTATTTTCATTTCTATGATTAACATGATTTAAAAGAAAAAATATTCCTGATTAGAAAATAAAAGCAGGCAAGAAATTAAGACTTATTGCCAATTAACCACCAAAAAGCCAGAAGTAGAGTTTTTGCCTTGAGAGCAAAAAGCTATAAAAATAAGAGTACAGGGCTGGGAAGGTGGCTCAGTGGTAGAACGCTTGCCTTGCATGGCTGAGGCCCTGAGTTTGATTCCTCAGCACCACATAAGCAAAAAAGGAAAAAGCCGGAAGTGGCGCTGTGGCTCAAGTGGTAGAGCGCTAGCCTTGAGCTGAAGAGCTGAGGGACAGCGCCCAGGCCCAGAGTTCAGGCCCCA